AGAGCATGTCCCCGCAAACTTTTTGTTTCTACTGGTTGTTGTGAAATACTTTTCTAAACTCTTGACTTGAATTGCAGTCATTTATTTTGCGACTCTATTTTAATTTGCCATTTAAGCTATCGCGAACGTTATTTGAATGACAATTTCCACTTTACTTTCGTCTTTCGCAGGAAATACGACATAAAATTCGAGGGTCATGTTTTGGATCGCCTTCTGAACGCCGTGGCCAAAATAATTACAGTGGTTTTCAAAAATCTCGTGTTACCGTTTATTGAGAGGCAAGCCGAAAAGATCTTTAGCGCAAAACTTGACGAGTGGAACTCAATGATTCCACAGCCAAATCGCACGGAAATTATAAATAGATGGCTCGACATTGTTAAAACGTAACTGCATTAATTCTTGTCGTTGAATTTCTATCGAATATTCTTTACTTTGTACCCTAAAAAAACTCAATTATGCTTAAGTCACATCAACTTTTAAACTAAATATTACATCACCGACCGAGTCGCAAGCATTTCATTGGCCAAAATAATTAAATTGCTTCGTAAAATTCGATTTGAAGATGTTTTTTTCTTAATCAACCGAAACTAATTGATGTCAAGTATCCTCGCAAGTGCGCAAATTATTTTTACGCGATAAGAAAAGACATTAGTTCTTCTTATCGTCCAACAATGCTACAACACTTGGACGGCAAGAGAATCGCAAGTCATTAGATATAGATAAACTACCTAATCCTAGAGGTATCTCTAGGAATAATGTAATCGTCGATAATTAAAATAGACGCGCGGCAAAGTTCGCGGAGCGGCTAAAAACTATTTCGTGAGATATTCCGTGTTCATAAGCGACGGCGGTTTCTACTACGGTAGTTTCGATGGGCAAACGGCGAGTAGTCAAACTGTCCAAAGCGACGATCAATATGCATTACTTACAACATTGTTAAGCCGCAACTTTGCGCGCACTACCGCCGCTTAATCTTATTAAACTTAGCCGGGTTTCCCGGGCACGTCGCGTCTTGGCGCCGTTGTTTCGGCCGCGCGAACGGCGATAGCGCAATCTGCATAGAGATAGCTCCATGAAAGTCCACGGGGGGTGGTCTCCGGGGATATCGCGAGAGGCGCACGCGGTAATCTTGTTTATACATACAACATTGCGGATATCGCGAGCACGAACCGCCGATCGATAGTACCACCCGATTCCAGGTGCTAATACTAATACTAATATTATGTGTACATTTCGATCGCCCCACTTTGTACACGTCCAAACACCTTTGCCGATTTATCCCTTCTAATCTCCGATTTATCGGACTTGGCTTAAAGTGGCCGGAGTTCGAATAGACGCCAGTTGGTTAACGCAGCGTAAAGAGCAGCGAATAGCTGAACGGGATGTTTCAACTAATTGTAAGATGTTAATTTAGTAGATTACACTTGGCGTTATCATCTTACTTTTGTCGTTAATTAATGAAGAGAATTAATTTAATGTCACAAGAGCTACGGCTTAATGGCACTGCCATTCCCCTAGTGAACATTGTGCGTTAATACGCATATGCGACGGTGGTTGCCTGTTACCAGGTGTATCTAGATGCAAAGATATCTCTGTTTACTTATACAAATTAATTAACATTTATAACGTGCACAACCAATGTACATCTGCGTTATTGAAACGGCTTTTGCAGATGCAAAGAGTGAGAACAAGTGTTCGCACAGTTGGAAAATTTGTGTTTTCTCGTTTAAAAAAATGCCGGTTAAAATTTTTGTGTTAAATGTTTAACACATTCATGTATTAATTTAACATATTGATCTTGTGTTAATTGACCTTATATGTAAAATCATTAAAATAACTGAAAATAAATGTTAAAACAACACAATGCGTACTTATTTTTTTATCTTACACAATACATATCTTCTATATTATTAGTAACAAAATTTATCTGTTATTTACAGAATAAAATGTTCATTTTATTCTATAGAACATAAGTGAGAGTGATTTCGAACCGTTATTTGACTTATTACATCTGTAAAATGTAAAAATTACATTTTTTAATTCATTTTGTCATTAAAAATATGTTAATTTTACAGATTTATTTCAAATTATTTTGAGATTTGCATTTATTCTGTGTTAAAATATTAACAGAGTTTTAGTGTGATCATTTAACATATCCATATTATGTTAAATTAACACAAAAATTTGTGTGGACCGTTTGGGACATGCGATATCTGTTACATTTGACACCAATTTTTCAACTGTGTACGTAAATGTGATATGTATTATTATACTGTCATAATATAATTATTACCATTGTTTGCATACTTTGTCCGAATTTAATAACCAAAAATATCAGATTTCGCATTGTACGCAATGCCATTTCATATTAATATCTACAAATATCATTTGTTATGCAAGGTGTGCCATTGTCGCACGCGCTTGTCCGCGTACTAAATTTGAACTGCCTCGAAACTCTTAGAAGTTTACGTCGACTGCAGTCGTCGACCACGAAAACATTACATGTATGTCCACTTTAAAGAATTACACGTGTTAAGCTCAGAAGCAGCCCGAGAGAAATGAAAGGAAGAAATCCCCGAGAGCGCGTGGAAAGAAAGCGGAAAGAAGATGATGAGCGAGAGAGAAACATGTGCTACAGAAAGTGCTGCGGAATAAGAAGAATTAAACTGTCTACTTTTCTCTTTTCAGGTTTCACGACCCCATCCGGGTCGCAAAAGCGATAGCTGAAGAATTGCTGACGATGAACGGGAGAGAATCAACAAGGAATAGAGAAACCGAGAGAGAAAAAGCCCTAGTCAGTTTAAAAAATAGATAAAATATTCATACGGCGCGGGACACACCGTAGCGAGACATAGGAAAAGGAAAAAGCGTAGTATTGCGGAAAATATAAAGCAGGATCACTTGGGTGTAGCAGATACACACGAATAATTGATAGACGAACGCTTATTGTTAGTAGAAGACTGGTAGCACAAAGTACAGTCGCAGATAGAAACTGAAACAATTCAGTGTTCAAGTAATAAAGTTTCTAGATGATCGATGATTTGGGCACTTATTTGCAACAGAATTTAAAGAGGAAACTGAATAAACTGTCTGCGTATACATCCGTAAAGAAATTAGTTTTACAGATCTTATTTTTACAGACAGATTTATTCTTCTTCGCCCTTACTTTATAGATATAAGGCTAAACTTTATTAAACTTACAATCAGTGCCAAGACTACTGCTTCCGAAAACCGGAAAAGAAGGGATTAATTTCACCCCTGCAACTGAAGCCCCCAATTTTCAGCGAGACGCTGAACTAGGTGTTGCGGTCAACTTCCACAAAAACCGACGAGAAATAACTGTTCACGATAAAGATCATTTCAACTCTTTTGCGTGGTCTACAATACGTGGAGTAAGCGTGGAGTAAGGAGTAAGGGAGAGCCCTAACTTCTAGCTTTTGGTGTAAGGAAGCTGAAATACGGGCATGATTTTTAAAATAATTGTAACACTGATTGATGGCATTTTGATTCACCGAGAGTAAGCCTAAGAGCTGAAGTAGGAGTGAGAAATAAAACGGATTTATTTCCTTACTCCTACTCCTTACTCCAGCTTACTCCATGTATTGTAGACCAGCCTTTATACGCCAGTACGAACTACGCATTCGCTGACGTTTACCTGACGCGAGGGACAGCGATAAGATTTTATTAGCCGAGGGAGCAATCGCAATCAGAAACGTGGTAAGAACGCGGTATTCGCAAATATTTGTTGAAAGAATTTTGGAAAATTGTTGTAGATTTAATTTAGTTTCCGAACCAACAATAAATCGTTTTCTTTCCGAATAACTTCAGGTTTGTTTCGCGATTTTTAACTTGTAATTGATACGAATGTTACTGAAATCTCGAGACTATTTTCTCGAACTACATTCGCGAATCTGTAAAACGTAAAGCGTCGTCTACAATAACCGGCGTAAGCGTGGAGTAAGAAGTAAGAGCAGGCGTAAGAGAGCTACTTCCGGTTTAATAGAGCTGGAGTAAGGGCGTAAGCGAAATGAATTGTTTTTATTTCTTACGCCTACCCTTACTCTTACGCCTTTTCACGCATGCCTACAACACCTACTTCACCGTATTGTAGATTGAGTCGGCGTAAACAGCTTACGCCAAAAACGTTACTCCTACTCTTACTTCTTACTCCACGCTTACGCCGGTTATTGTAGACGACGCTTTAAAGTCAAATGTTATGAGGAAAAGTTAATATTCGATCACAAGGTTAGCATGAAATCTTCGTACTTTAATTAAAAAATTGAATTTTTATCCATTTGAAAAGTTGGCACCAATTTCCAATACAAATTTTTAAAAAATTTCTCGAATTGATTAATGAGTTTTACTACTAAAAGATTATCGCGAAAGTCAATAAGAGGATATAAAATATGAAATTGAGAAAAAATGATTAATGTCTTTAATTTAAAAAATTTCGTGTTATATGCATTTCGATTTCGTATAATCCGTTTACACAAATTAAACATACAATTTTGTACAATTTTATACAATTTGATATCAACAATTTTCGCGACAAAATATATAATTCGGTATATAATTCATAACCATATCATTATTATTATATATATATTTTTGCATCATTATTGTACAATTTCGGGTAAGTAAATTTGTACAAAAAGTAAATTGTAAAATTTATTTGCATAAAAGTGTACAATTATGAATCTATAAAGTACATTAATTTTCCCACCCGAAATTAACCCCCAATCCTACCACATCCTTACGCTTATCCGTTGCATAAAAATGTGCAATAAATCTACCAAGTAAATAAATTGTTTTATTCATCGAATTATCCCCCAATCCTACCTACCCGTGTAGTCACATATTCATTTTCCTACCTAAAAATTTCTTAAATTCCCTAACTAATTTTTCATACTAATTAAATTTCCCTTTATTGCCGAAAATTACAGCCCCATATCCCTATCTCGTACTCTCGTTAATCATTTTCCTATCTACCCGATATTTATCTGGTTTTTACCCGTATTTCTCCCTACGTAGTACGTACATAATATTCCTACCTTATCATTAGTATACTTTTAGTTACGAGCGCGGTTACCTGAAATTTTAGAAGACCGAATTTGATTTTAAATCGCGTAATTGGGATTTTAATTTACGCGGAATATAGAGAAGTTTTATTTAATTGGAGACGGTATATTTCCGTCTTCGATTACGTGCAATCGCACGTTGTTATACGTACACCACTTGTGTACTCTACTTCGTTGTCTTTCTTCTGGCCAGACAAACTCACCTTTTTCTGGCCAATAGCCTGGCTTTACGTAGCCAGAAATCGACAGCAAGGAGATATACTCCTTCTGCTGCCGGCTGATCAGAGCCAGCAATAAGCGTAAGATTCTACGCTTTTGTATGATGCGCGAAACACGAACGCGTCGCGAAGGGGTCATCAAGTTAATTGAATCAATTACGTACAGAACGAACAATGAGCAATAATAATAATTACATCACGAATTTATTCTTTACACGCGTTTATTCGCAATTAAAGTGTGTGTCCAATAATTGAAATATATAAC